TGAAAAGACGATGCTTCAAATTTACCAAGTTACAATCGTAGTCTCATTTTGCTAGATGTGTGCCCCCCCCCCATTTATCGAGATACAGAGTCTTAACTATTAGAGATTACTCTCTGTCTCACAACACACCATAGAAAGAAGGCACAATGTCGTAACAGAACTGATAACAAAACTTTGCCATCACTTTCTTCGATCTGGCCGACGAATATTTCAGTAAATCAGCCGCACTTCACATCAACTTCCAGGCAATGAAGAAAGAAGGCTTATGACAACTGGCACCTCAGACTCATTTCCATCTTTCATGATGGGCAGCACTTGTAATCCTTTTTGTAATGCTTATACCTGTTTCGCAAACAGCGGTCATTCACCTCCTTCTAACAATCTTATCTGTAGTTAGGCGGTCACTATAACATGCAATGTACCCCACTTCAAAAACACAGTGTCACTCATTTGCATATTTCTGAGGGAGCCGAATGTTTAATCTTTCCATATAATGATCCCGATCCTCTGCCAACTGTTACCCCGATATCACTGATCAAAGAAACCGCATTAGCCCTTGCGATGCCTCCTCTAGTAAACACTGAGTTAAACAGTTCACGTTCAAACAAGCGAGCAGTCGATCAGACAGTGAACCGTCCTAAAGAAAACACAGAATCACCGTTAATGCAGATTTCTTGGTCAGGATCGCTGGAACCACAGCTAACGCAGAGGAGCAAGAGGCACGAAACGCCTATCCAAGTGCAAAACATATTTCAAGTGACAAGACTTCGGCCCCCAGCTCCAGTCGTGGTTCAAACGTTGAGTGGAAGAACGCAACGAGCAGTCGTTTGTCTTTGCATCACATTCAGCATAGGGCCACGTTGTCTACATGCCAAATGGCAGAGTTTTCGATCATTTGTCAACGCACCACGTATCTCGACGCTATCGCCAGCAAAAAATGACTTTCGAACGGGCGGTTCAGGTTTTTCCATAGACTTTAAACGTCGACAGCGGTAGAACTGCGCCTTGGTTGTACGCTGCTATCGACGATGGGTGCAAAACGCCAGACAGGTCGATGGCAGCAAAATACATCACCCACCAAACAACTTCGCCTTCACTCCCATCGCGAGTATTTTTTCGAAAGCCATAACTAGAAAGAAGAAAATTGCCTCAATATGACTTCCTCATTTGCTTGTAACATATTGACTAGGGTTCCGCTTCGCTGCTCACAAAAATTAATCATATGGCAAGCCCTTCGATGACGATTGGCAAGACATATTTCACTGAACCACATTGAAACTGGATGTTGCTCAAATACTTTCATACTCGCCAAGGTCAAGGCGTGTATAACGATTGCCGATGTGAAATGCAAAACAACCGTACCTGCGAGCGTCATCATGTGGGATTCGCATAATTGCACTACCACGAATAGGGGAAACTTGTGATATACATTTTATCGTAAATTTAATGGGGGTAGCGATGATCTTTGTCTTCATTTCATCAGTCATCTAAGAGTACATATTTTAAAGGCAGAGTTGACAGTAGCCATGTGACAAACATAGATGAGCGTGCTGTTTTCTTCCCGCAATCTGGTTCTCACTTATCAACCTCGAAAGACTACTGACTGGACAGGGGCTCGAACCCGTGACCTTTCGCTTCCTGGTCTGATGCCCCACCGACTGAGTAACTCCAGTCAGACATCCTCATTAACGTCACTGGTCTGGTATAAAAATCACTATTTTAAGAGAGGAACTGCCAGCTACTGCAATTTTTGTTCGCCATCGTTGACTTATTTCATTATAGAAAGTGTGTAAATAACAACGGCTATAAATTTGATAAGAGAGAATTTTGTCTAAACTGGTTGTTCAAATTTAGGTGACTCAGCACGCTGGTCTGCCCACCTATAGCAGAATGGTTGAACAATAAGTAAATGTTCACTAAATTTTAAG